TATATATATATATATATATATATATATATTGTTTAAGTCTAAACTTTTAGTCTTAACTTTGTATCAAACATAATTATCAAAGTAAAACATGAGTTAATTGTAAAAGTTAAAACAAAAAACAAAAAAAACAAAAAGAAAAGTAGAAAACAAAAAAAATAGAAAATAGCGAAAATAAAGACAATAAATTATATCTATAAGAAATTAAGAATATAAAGACAATAAAGAAACAATAACCATTCCAATAAAAACAATAAGAAAAGTAGAAAACAAAAAAAAAGTCTGAGTGTGACCTGCGAAGAGGACTTTACTTGCGCCGGCTCTGAGTCTGCGAAGATGTGCGCTGTTCGGACTCGGGAGAGAGAGGAGGGGCTGCGCCGGCTGAGGAGAACATGAGGAGGGCAGGAGGCTGCGTCGGTTGGGGAGTAATTCGATCGACGGCGAGAGGGCAGAGGCAGAGGCGAGGCAGTTGAATCGATGAAGTGTTTCGATCGAGATATAGGTCAGCGCGTTTTAAAAAAAAGTCAAGGTTTTTAATTAAAAAACCCTTGACCTGCGTCTGGCGTAGATGGCGAACGCCTTTCGACTTAGAGTCTGGCGTCCATGGCGACCGCCATTGGCGAGAATGGCGTAAAAGGCCTCGCCACGTCTGAAGATGGCGTCACATGGTCGCCACACAGCCATAGGCGCCTTAGGCGAGAATGGCGAGCGCCATTCACAACTATGCAATAAACACAACTTACATCCCTAAATGCCTAATTAACACGAAATGGTCCAGAAACATTATCGAAACCAAAAATTTCCAACGAAGTAACAAGAAAAAGCTACACAATAAGTAAAAAAGAAGTGAAAATAGTAGCTGAAATGTTCCCTCTAAACAGCTGCAGCACCAGAGCAACGGTCTAGGTGTGATCCAACAATTTCATGTAATGGTGTGAGCATGCCAATATTTACCACAATGTTGGTATGTTAAAACATGGAATGTTCCCAATATTTTAAATCCTAAAAATGTGAATCGGGTCATAGCTGTCCTGATCAATTAAATTGCAGCATATGAACAATAATAAGCAACATCAAATTAATAGAATGTAATATGGGAATATTCTAATCTTAATACTCAAATTAGAGATAAGTATTTATCCACAGTAATGTACTACCAAGACGGGGCGTATTAACATAAGCTAGCAATTCAAGAGTTCAAAATTAAACAAAAGCTACTTGCATAAAATGCTTACCAAAAGGATAAGAGTGCAGTTTTGTGATACATAATGATATGTATAAAAGAAGACATTTGAATTTGAGAACACACCACACATATCAACTCATCAAATCAAATCAACTCCATAACTAGAGCCTCTCCAAAATTTCAAGTCATTCACATCAAAATTTTAAAAGTGTAGACCTACTAACAACACAATATATTACATATACAATATAATAAAAAAACACGATATAAAGTTGTTTTTGATTAAACAACAGGGCACATTAACTTTTATTTTCTACTTGATTAACAGTAATGGATATATGGTAAAGAAATTTCCAAATACAAATCACGTTAACAATTTTCTCCATCTTTGGTGGTAAGCGCATGAATTTCTCATTTAAAGCAAATAAACCTACATTTGAAAATATTGACAATAGAGAAAATTAATTGAGAAAATTGCAGAAGAAAAAACATAATTGAAAACTTGGTTTTAATTAATTAAATTTTTTAGCACTAGGTAGTGGGAGAGAAAGAAGTTTGGCGAAGAATTATACATGTAGGCGTGGAAAGCAATTGCTCAAAGGTAAATATTCGGAAGCAATGAAGTCCCTCTATTGCCAATACCAACGCATCCATGTTGACACTGCCCACCGGTTGCTCATTTATGCAGAACAAAGTTTTTGGCCGCCCTACCTGCTTGGCCATCTCTTTTGGACGCATTTTGGGAACAATCGGTGGAGAACAAACAGAACGTACATCTCAAAATTAAAAATAAGGGATCATTGATGTAAAAGGAAATGTAAATCTAGAATTGGGGATTGTATAATAAAATCCCAATTGGAGAGAGAGATGTGATGTTGTGCGCTTATTTTGTGGTGGAAACAGAAAAAAATATGGAAACACAAATATGCCTCTATCTTATGCGGATCAGAAAGCAACCCTCCAACGTCCCACCATAGTTATCACGACGCCAAGTCGAGGCGCGGCGCTCGGATACTGCTAGTACGCCTAGTCGACCGTCTAGGTGACACATAATATAGGAGAATTGTTATAAATTAAAAACACTAATATAAAGTATAAATTTTTCTAATACATCAAAGTTTAACTACCAATGTTACTTTTAAGTACTTTCCTAAAAGTTTATAAAGTGCGTTACTGATGTAAGTTGGTAATAAAATAATCATTCATAATTTAAAAAGTTTAGCATTGAGTAATAATAATTAGGAAGATAAAGTAGAAGATAACATTAACTAATTTATAAAGCATTAAAAAAACAAAGCAATGGAGCCGGGGGTATAAAACACTTGAAAAAATGAAGCACTGGAGTAAAAAAACAAAAGTACTGGACTAACGAGCCAAGGCGAGGAAAGGCAAGGCCTAGGCGATGCCTAGGTGAGGTATGCAAAATAAAGCAAGGCGAGCTATCATGGCGAGAGGAATTAAGGAAGCTGCCAAAACATTTTATAAGCCCACCAGTGTTCCTTTCGTAATATTCCATTGCAAATAGGAGCCCCTAGGTATGTGAAAGGAGCCTGCCCTTGCTTCATGTTTAGAGCGTGTTCCATAGCCATGATTGAGTTCCTGTTAATTCTTTCACCACAGTGTGCGTTGCTTTTTCCAAAATTTCCATTCAGAAATCATCAGCATAAGCTAGATGTGAAACCATAGGCACCCAGTCCCTGCGTTGAAGGGGGTTAGGAAGTTTGTCTCTAGGCGATGGGTAAGGATCTAGGAGAAACCCTCACTGCCTATAATATAGGGGATGGAGGAGAGAGGATCTCACTGTTTCACTCTCTCCATATTGAAGAAGCCACAAGGGGTCCCATTTAAGAGAACAGAGAACATAGTTGCTATCATATTAGCCAAAGGAGTGACTGGATATTATCATTGAAACCAAAGGCCTTCAAAATATTTTTGAGATAATGCCAGCTCATCTTATCAAAGGCCTTAGTCATGTCAATCTTTACCACCCTCCACCTTTTTGTTAAGCACATGATGCATCTCCTCAGCCATTAGTATTTGGTCAGCAATATCTTGATTTTTCTGGAAAGCAATTTGTTCCTTAGAGATGATTTTTGGAAGAACTGATCCAATTCTACTTGCTAGAATCTTTGAGTTTATCTTGCTCATGAATGTTGATATTGAAAGAGGCATGTCTGTGGTCATAAAGTGTTCTAGGGCTGTCTTTCTTAGGAATGGGGGTTAGTAGAGTGCTCCCATTAAGCACTTGGAACTGGTATTCTGGCTCTCTAAGAAGAACTCCTGTAAGACCAAATTAACATCTTTCCCAATTCTAGGTCTTCTTAAAAACTCCCCATTGTAATCAACAATGCCTGCTGCACTATGTGGATCTAGGTCCCAAACTGCAAGTCTCACTTCTTCAAAAGAGGGGAGAGAGGATAGCTTTTCATTTTCATCCTCACTGTTAATGAAGATACGATCTAGCCTTCTCCAAATGTTGCCCTGACCCCTGGTTCCACTCCAAGTGATGAAACCTCCTGCTGCATCAAGGCTATCAAGGACTCAGGATTCAAGGCAATTGGAAAGCTCTTCCATGCACTGTAAGGACAAGAACGACCTTTATGTTCATCCATTCTGGTTATGGCATTAAAGTTTCCGCCTACTATCCATATATCTTCATTTGGATCATGATCTATCATGCTATTGTTCTATACTCCCTCCGTCCACAATTAGACTTCCCACTTTTCTCTTTTGTCCTTCCTAAAAAAAACTTCCCGTTTCTATTTTAGGAAAGTTTTTATAACTGAAATGTCCTTTCTACCCTCATTCTTCTTCTTCCTCTCCCTTTCTTCTTTCTTTCTTTTTCTTCTTCTACTGTTTTTTCGTTTCTTCTTCGGTTTTTTCTTTCTTTCTTTTTCTTCTTTTTCTCCTTCTTTATTCATTTTCTTTTTCTTCTTCCTTCTTCTTCTTTTTCTTCTTCTTCTTTCTTCTTCCATCATCTTCTTCTTTCTTTATTTTTTCTTTCTTCTTCTTTCTTCTTCCTTCTTTTTCCGTCTTCTCCTTTTTCTTTCTTCTTCGTTTGTTTCTGATTTTTCTTCTTTCTTCTTCCGCCAACTAGAAAAAGTAAAATTTTTCCAGATCTGTGGGTTGCATCTTCGCCCGATCTAGACTTGCAGTGACAATTTTTTGATTTTTTCCAGATTTGTGGTGGGATGTTGATTTTCGTCAACGAGAAGTCTCAAAACAGATCTTTGCGATGAAAACGGATCTTTCCATCTGGCAGTTCACCGATTGCCGTCCAAAATCTGGAGGCATAGACGACAGAATAGATCAATGTGGTGAGGAGGATGACGAGGATTTGGAAGGACTCGGGAGAGGTAGAAGGCGTAGGACTATAAGAAGACCGGACCCGATGGGGAAACAGAGGAGCCACTGGAACGGGGTGGTTATGGACTGGCGCCAGAACCACCTGGTGTCACAGATCTCGGCGGCAGCGGAGAGGAGGATTCTCGTGAAGATGGTGAGGGAGATGAGGGTCATGGAGAGGGAGTGGAGGGTGGACAGGGTAGATAAGGATGAAGGGCATAGTGAGAAATTCAACACAAATTTCATTTCACATAAATTTGCGCACCGAGTCAAAGCCGTACGTTTAATTGTGGACGGAGGGAGTAGATTCTTTCTTCCTATTGTGGTGTGCTTAATTAACATAAACTTTGTAAATAAAAAGGGATAGGGGAGGGGGTGGGGATCGAAATTTAAGGTTGAGGAATTTGCATGTGACAATCTGATCCTCTTGTTTACACTCCACATGCCCCAGAACTCCTTCTCCCATAAGATCCAAGATTTGTCATTAGCTGATCCCATGCATTCAGAGTACCCTAGCTTTATCTTGTAGTCATTTAAAGATATAAATCATATAATCCTTGCTAGGGAGGATACAATTCCCCTAGCATTCAAGAAAAGAGGCTTCTTGATAGGGGAAAGGAAGGGGCTCCACCTAGCTGACTATGACTCCTAGTCATAACCTCGAAAGGAGTTGTTGGCTTCTTCCTCTTGGTGAGTCTAGGGAAAGGTTTGGCCTTGCACTTGGAGAAATCCACCTGAAAAGGCTTTAGTATTGATGACTCTAGGGGAGTCTCCTGGTTCATTCTCAGAATNCATTTAAAGATATAAATCATATAATCCTTGCTAGGGAGGATACAATTCCCCTAGCATTCAAGAAAAGAGGCTTCTTGATAGGGGAAAGGAAGGGGCTCCACCTAGCTGACTATGACTCCTAGTCATAACCTCGAAAGGAGTTGTTGGCTTCTTCCTCTTGGTGAGTCTAGGGAAAGGTTTGGCCTTGCACTTGGAGAAATCCACCTGAAAAGGCTTTAGTATTGATGACTCTAGGGGAGTCTCCTGGTTCATTCTCAGAATGGTAATGAAAGTCCACTTTGTCTACATCTGTTCTAGGATCTAGCACACCCTCCGCTATTCCAGCAGCACAGAGGATCATGGAGGTTGCCTTGTGAACATCAGCAGTGCAAAATGAATCATCCTTGCTTCCAATAGAGTGAAAGTGGGTTCCATCATCAGGGTTGGTTAGTACTTCATATCTGTTAAAAGCTGGAAGCATCAAACCCTCATCAAGTGTTTTCTTCAATAGTAGTGAATGCTACATCAGAGATGTCATTAAAACTGATATGATCATTATAAATTTCTTCATAGACAGCATCTAGGTTCTATGAATCATACTTAGTTGGATAGAGGAGGTGGGTGATATCCTCGACAAGTACATCCCCAGACCAAAAACTGCTTGACGCGTGCGCGCGCACAAGCCCTTCCAATAGAAATTCGTGTTGCTCCTTCGCTCATGCAATTTAAGGATTCTATGGTACATTTATTGTCATCATGCTCAGATGAGCTACATGATTCATCTCTTTACTTTGCTCCCCATCAATGCAAGCACTATCATCGTGGAAAAATAGCATCTGTTCTCGCCAAGAACTTGCAAGGACGTGTTAAGCATGCGGGTACACCACCGTAGGGTTGATGTTGGGAATAGGTGAGGGTGATTGGAGGTTGGCGGCACTATGATTGTCTGGAGTCCAACTCTTCACTTTGACAGAGAAAGGGCTTGGCCTTTCCTAAGACACCAAGAATACTCAAGATAAAAAAGCCATTATTCCAACTAAGAGAATATACTCCATATAAGAGATACCTGAAAACTAATTGGAAACAAATAGCTTAATGAATACTTGGGGTATTACCGTATTAGGAGTACTAAGTCTTTCCAAATAATGTATATGCATCTATCATGACGGTAATGCTTATAACCCCTTTTGGGTAGCTGATTGTACAACATATTTGGGAGCATGCTTATATTTCCTTTCCAACATTATGAGTCATATTTGGGAACAAGTGATTGATGGTGTCATGAAAGCGAAGCATGTCGTTCTCACATTCTCATCCAGTTTCCTGAACTCCTGCATGGCTCGCTCAACTTGAGGGGAGATATCAGACAAATAGTTTGTCCATAGTATTGGGAGTCTTCTGTCATAAGTTGTTTTTGTCTCTACATATGTATTGGTATCCGCCAGACATGAATGAATCTTTAAGTAATACAGTTTTTTTTCATTTTCCAATATGTTACGAATTTGAATGCAAACAATCGCTTATATTGTCCGAGTCCATGTAGGTTTCTCAAGTGTTACCGACGCTATTCACTTTGTGTCCAAATGCAAACACCACTACAGAAGTTCCCATTGAGGCTCTTGTGAAAGTGTTAAGACCTTTAGGCCTTCAGAATAGGAGGGCAGCTACGCTTAAAACATTCTCAAAGGAATATTTGCAAGATAGCTGGACTCATGTGACACAGCTGCATGGTATTGGCAAGTATGTTTGCACCATTTCATATGTGTAAATTTTTTCTAAACGTTTCCCTCCCATCTCAACTGGAACTGAAGTGTGAGTTATTTTTTATTTGTTTGTAGGTATGCAGCAGATGCCTATGCAATATTTTGTACTGGAAAATGGGATCATGTAAGACCAGAAGATCACAAACTAACTGAGTATTGGAACTTTCTTGTTGAACTCCTCACGAAGGATGGAATATTCGCATAGCATTGGATGGTGTTTTTTTTTTTGCAACTGACAATGTACTGGTAACTTGGATTGCATACTATCTTCTCATTTTCCTATGTGATTTGTTCGAAAAATTTGTTTTGGTCAGCTTTTTGGAAACAATTAGGGTGCTTTGAAATGAATTCTTAAATTCCTCTTTTGATGCTTGTCTCTCACCTTCCGTTTGTTGATTGGTGGATGTACACCCTTCCTCTTTTGATGATTGTCTCTCATGGTTGTCCACATTGAGTCATGCACAACACACATATTAAATCTATTATAAAGCCATTGGCCTCTATCCCTAGCAAAATTTGAAAAACCAAACATTGCTTTAAATCAATGATTTAAAATTGGACGGGACGTTGAACCGGCGAGGCAAGTCAATCTGTAGAACCGGTCAACGACTTGGTCAATGAACCTATAACTATTCTTACAAAACTTCTTATATACTTTGCATGATTAAGTATTTCAGATTTATACTTGCTTGATTAAAATGAAAAAAAAATAAAATAAAGATAAATAATACAATATTTATTTTTAATTTATAAATGCTTCTTAAATTTTTAGGGGGAATAGTTCTAGATAAATTATTCATATTTGTATTTTCATAAAAAACCTTTTCTTGTTTTAGTTTTTTTAACCTTGGCAAAAGAAGTTTACATCACACAATTATGACTTTCTTTTTTAAATAATTGAAAGTTTCTTTCGATTATTAGCACGGGTAAGGCCCATGTAGTAAACCTAATATATATTCGGTTTTATATGGATGGCCACAGGTTTATGGATTGAAATGCATGTAAGGGGTTCGATCCTCCCTCGTGCTTTTTAATCCCATCATTTTTATTTTATTTATTTGTTTGTGTATTTATTTTATTTTAAATTTTTGAATTTAATATTTTTTAATATATATTATATTACGGAGTATCTTATCTGACATGATAAGTACTCAAGACCTAAAGTATGTTTAGTTCGTATATTCTACCCAATTTCTCAATATTTGGTATCAGAGCTTTTGGGTAGATAAATATACTCTTGAAACTTTGAGTTTTATTTTTTGTTATTTCTTTTTTTTTGCTTTTCGTGCACCATTTAAAATAAAATATTTTTCTATATTTTCTTTAATCATTGTCAATCTGCTTAAAACACACACAAAATCTTACATTTTTCTTATTCCAAAATATTTAAAGAAAAGCTTATTTTCCTTATTTTAGTTGCATATTGCATATACTTGTTACCAAGTTTTTGTTTATTGTTTCCATCTTACAATAAATATACCAACTAAAACAAGGAAGTCAAGTAAAACATTATTTATTTTTTTCATATAGGCTGGTTTATTATTTTTATTTTATTTTTTTAAAGAAAAAAGGCCTTTTTTGCTTTCCATTTTCATTTAGTTTTAATTGTACTCCCTGTCCTAAAATAAGTTCTTGATTAGATCCAACTTGGATACAACATCTAAGCATTTTAAGAGGAGTAACGACAATTATAATTTTTTTCTTTCTTTTGTTAAAACAAAAATTAGTCGTACCTTTAAATTATCTTTTTTTAATTAATTTATTTTCCTTATTGTCGACCCATTTTATATAAAACAAAGCTAGACATTGGTTCTTTTTTTCTTTTATTTGATTACTTCTTGATTTACTCTATATTTATTTGGGTTTGATAGTTGTCATCCTTGACATGGAAAATAACATTAAACAATCCATTGATCGACGCCAATGACAAACTCGCTAAAATGCAAGAACTCTTGAAATGCTCTTTGATTCTGTTCAAAGGGTCGAATAACTCTTAGCTATAGTTGGGTTGAGACAAGGGAACTCACATGAGAATAATAATGACAAAGATAAAATCAATAATCAAAATCCTTACTTTTTTAGGAATGAACAAAATAAGAGGAATGAACAATGGTACGAAGAAAAAGAAGAAGAAGAGAGCTATTGGCTACCTCTTAGACCACATACAAATATAAGGCAAAACTTTGATGAAGATAATGACATAAAGGGAATTAAGATGACCATACCACCCTTTCAAGGAAAGGTAGATCGCGATGCATATTTTGAGTGGGAAAGTAAAGTTGAAAGAGTCTTTAGGATCTATACCTATTCGGAGAAGAAGGTTCGCCTAGCATCCCTAGAATTTAGTGACTATGCTAATTTATGGTGGGATGAGTTATCAAAGGATAGACGACGTGACGGAGACAAACCCGTAGAGAGATGGCGTGAGACGAAGAACCTTATGAAAAAGAAATGTGTCCCTAGTTGGTATTACCGTGATGAGCTCCATAACCAACTAGAAGAGCTCACACAACGAGGCCAAACCATAGAGGAGTACAACCTAGAACTTTAAAAGATCGTAGTGAAGCTAGGAATAGAGGAAAATTCTGAGGCCGCTATGTCTAAGTTTTTAAAAGGACTTAGACCTGAGCTTAGGGACGAAGTAGAGGGACAACGCTATTTGGATTTAGATTATCTTTTTCAGATTGCTTTCAAGGATCAACGTAAGATCCAACACAAAAAGGCCAGAAACAAGCCAACTTATACGCCATGGAAGGGAAATGAAGATTTCAAGCCCAAACCCCAGGTTGATTTCAAGGCCCCCTTACACGCCACCCTACAATGCCAAGGAGACCAAAGCTTTATCTTCTAAACCCACGTTCAAGGAAGGTAAATCAAGCAACATAAAGTGTCTAGGACATGGAAACTAACCTCGAGATTGTACATTCAAGTGGGCCATGGTGATTAGGCCCGATGGAGAACTTTATTCCGAATGTGAGGAGGACCAACAAGAAGATGTGAACCATCAACAAGATGATGACGACGGAGAGGAACTACATGGACACGAAGGTGAGACATTGGTCATTCAAAGAGCAATGCACAATATTCCAAGGTAAACTTTATAGTGTCATTATTGATGGTGGATCTTGTACAAATGAAATAAGTAATGAGGCGGTAGCCAAACTTAACCTAAGCAGATGCGCACACCCACGTCATCATAATCTTCAATGGTTGAGTGATGAAGGATCCACGAAGGTAGACAAGCAAGTGCTATTCTCTTTTAACATTGGCAAGTATCATGATGATGTTTGGTGTGATGTCATACCCATGGAGGCAGCCCACGTTCTTTTCGGATGACCATGGCAATATGGCAAGAGCCATCCATGATCGGTGGATGTACACTCTTTCTTTATAGGAGGTAATACAGTACCGAGAAACTCATGGTTATCCACATGATAAGTCGTTTNTTAACCTAAGCAGATGCGCACACCCACGTCATCATAATCTTCAATGGTTGAGTGATGAAGGATCCACGAAGGTAGACAAGCAAGTGCTATTCTCTTTTAACATTGGCAAGTATCATGATGATGTTTGGTGTGATGTCATACCCATGGAGGCAGCCCACGTTCTTTTCGGATGACCATGGCAATATGGCAAGAGCCATCCATGATCGGTGGATGTACACTCTTTCTTTATAGGAGGTAATACAGTACCGAGAAACTCATGGTTATCCACATGATAAGTCGTTTTTGGGTTAGTACTTTTTATTTAATTTTAGGCATTTTTAATATTTTTAGTCTTTAATTTTTAGTTGTTTTAGCTTAGTTTTATTTTAATTCTTATTTTTAAATTCTTTTTATTTTCTTTCAAAAATATTAGCTTTTTAATCATTTTTACATTATATTATTTTTACTTTATTTTTCCTAACCCAAATTATCCGATATCTTATTTTTGGAGAAAATTACAGCAAAAGGCCGAATTGAAATTCAAGTTTGAAAAGAAGAGATTGATTTTGGGTCAAAGCCCAGAACAAACATAATAGAAAATCAGCTCACCAATCATCTCACTTTGTCTTCATGCAAGAAAGAAAAAAAGAACGGAGAATTGAAGTCTACGACTTCTTCTTCGCGATAAACCAGCGCCCAGCTTCTTCAACGCTCCTCCGTCAGTTTCGCCTCAATCAATAGCAACGGCATTCTCTACTCACTCAAATCTACAACGGTAAACAATCCTCTTGCTATAAATTGATGATGATTAAAGCTTCAGAGGAGGGGGAATTCACACAGAGAATAAAACGAGAATAAAGCAGCGGCTTGGCCGCTGCTATGGTGGTCGCCGGTGATGGCGGCGGCAGACATCTCTGGCGCGGCGGCGGACGGCCGGCGGACGCGAACCGGCGGCGGCATCAGTTCCGGCGAGCGGTCTGCAGTAGCTCCAGGCAGAGGCCAGTGATGGTTCCAAGAGCTTCAATTCTTCAATTTCTCAATTTCTTCATACAATTGGTAACCCTTATTTGTCAATTTTATCTTTTTTTTTCTCCAATTCTATGTAAAAGTTTGTTTTTTTTGTTCAATTTTCACATTTTTTTTGCTTGTTTTGTTTGTTTCAAATATTCTAAAAATGGTTCGTGTTCTTCTTTTTGGGTTTTTTTAATGTCTATATTAAATCCCTTATGAATGAGAATTAATTCAAACTAGTTTTTCTTCAATTATTGAGCAAATTGTTGTTGAATTGGTTGAATTACATAATTTGATTTCATAAGTAGGTTGGTATGTGGAATTCGGTTTTTGTTGAAGCTACTTTAGCTCCATAAGATAGTTAAATGAACTCTGAGTTCATACGTGATTCTTTGTTGTGATTTGTGTTTGTTGATTTTAAGGATTTTGGACTTCTTAGCTCCATAAGATGATTCATTATTCTTAGAATTCGTAATTGAGTGATTGTGTATTTTCTCGTATGTTTGTTTGTTATTTTCGTTAATTTGAGGTTGTTTAAGCTCAAAAACAATTCTTGATTAATTGAAAATACGTTGTGTTCATTTATGTGAATAGAAAAAACGTCATTGGTTTGAGAAGTTCATGGAAATCTGTGAAATGTGCTCATCATTAGGAGAAAAAGTTTGTTAAAATGCATAAGGTATTGGCGGTTTGTGAATAGATTATGTATGAGAGTTGAATGCATAATAGATTCTCTCTTTTATAAATTTTTTCTATAGTGGAAGTATGTTCTCATGCTTGAATAGAGAGTTGGGGTTCTAAGGTATATTTCGAAACGGGCCTTTGAATTGCATGACTCCGGGCCGTGTAGAGAGTTGACAATCCTCCATATCGTGGTTAAGGAAATGAATCGACTCGGCCTTTGATTGATTTTTTCTATTCTTAAGTGCGTAAGTTATGTAATATATT